TGTATGTAGTTATGGTACAATGTACAGTGTTTTAACTACGTCAGAGTTAGCTGTAAGTTAGTAAGTAAGTGAACTAACATTTTTACTACCATATTAGATTTTTACTAACATTTTCAAGCCAACTAATCTATGTATGTATGCATGTAGTGACTTGATTGTTATTTCTTTCATTGGGACAATGTACAGATTTTTAGCTGCAAGAGAGATAGCTTTTTTCTTCTTGTACATATGTGAATGCGTATTTAGCATTTTCGTGTTTTCAAGCAGCATCAGTCCGTAAGTACACATATGTTACATCATGTTACTTCACAAGTTGTTATTGTTACAATGTTTTTTGTTTTGTTTTTTTCAAATTTGCATGTCATGACAGATGTACAACACTTTCATAAATATCTAAATCAGAATAAGCCATAAAATATGACAGTAATTCTTACCCTATCAATGTTTGTGTATAGAGCTGCCACTTGAATCTTCCCATGTGCTTGCCACCATATTAAATTTTGCCAACAGTATGTTAGGCTCTTCTGACACCACTGGATGGTGATGGAGTCACTGCCCACACATGTCTATAATACCCCCAATTCAGCACTGAACATGATTGTGGACATAAGAGTTAAAAAGTGCTGTCCACATATGTGACCAGTAAGCCCTAGGAGGTTAAGACAGAAACTGGTCCACCAAAACACCAAAACACCAAGCCTCAAACAAAGCAATGTGGTCTACTCCATTCAGTGTAGTGGAGATTGCAGTGAACGTTACACTGGTGAAACAAAACACCCACTTTGCAAAAGGATGTGTCAACACAGACAAGAGAGAGCAGCAGCGGACCTCAGTCTGATGTACATCTCCACCTAAGAGCACAGGTCACTCTTTTGAGGATAATGAGGTACAGATCTTAGCCAGAGAAAAGAATCAGTTTGAGAGGAGAGTTAAAGAGGCTATTTTGTTAAGAAATAGAATCCTTCCTTGAACAGAAAGGGAGGACTAAACCTAAACCAAACCTAAATCAAAACAAACAAACCAAGAAAACAAAAGAGATATAGTCACATCAGACCCAGAGGAGGAAAAGCACCCATTATGGCCCTGAATGATTATGCCAATATGACCCCACACTCAGTGCAGGTCAATAGGCCTAGCTAACTAACAGAAACTGTAAACAAGTATGAGTGTTAGTTTCAGAGTAGTTTCAGTGTAGTTAGCTCCTCCTTTCAGGCAGATATAAGGAAGTATCCATCAGCTTTTTGACCAGAACTGAAGAAGCAGCTTGGAGGAGCTGCGAAATGTATTCAACCCAAATAAACTTTTGTCCAGTTGACCAATTGAATTTCTCCTTCTGCCATGGATTCTAAATGGACGACTGAGGGATTTTACACTCAAATAAACGTGTTTTAGTGTTCAAAAATGCCTTGCAGAACACACAGACTGTGAGCGCCAGGGTCATGTCTCCAGATCTTACAAGTAAATTGGCTTGTAAATGGTCACATTTTTCTATAGCACTTTTCCACCTTCAAGGCACTCAATGCGCTTTACAACAAGGAACCACTCACCCATTCATACACTGTGGGCAAGGTGGGTTAAGTGTCTTGCCCAAGGCAGCATTCATCTGTGGGAGCTAGAATCACACCAGCCAACCTGTGGGTCAGTGGATCTGACCACTCAACCTGTGATGTTTATGTAGAGAGCTGGATTTGAACCGCCAACCTTCAGATCAGTGGGCGAATGCTCTACCAATTGAGCTACTGCCGCCTCTGTCTGTCACTTGCTTGTCTTCAAGGAGATAGATAAGTTGAATGTCGTAGTAGTGTGACCAGATGTCCCTATTTACCCAGGACAGTCCCAGTTTTGAGCCCAGTGTTCCTTACAGATTTATCCAAAACCATTGATTTGTTCTAGTTTTATACAAGAAATGTCCCAGATGTCCCTATTTTTGACCAATTTGATCCCTGCTAACAGTAAAGAGAGGTGTACAATGATATTTTTTTAGATAAAATACAGAATACAGACTGTATTGACTTGCATGAAAATCTGGTCATCCTATGCTATAGCCTACTGAAAAAATCATTCCAGGCAAAGTAATAACATCGCCCCATAGACATACTAAAATTACATAATGAATCTTCAACAAGTAAATATATTTGAGCACAGATGTCATTAAACAAACTCCAAGAAACTTTGTGCTAATTCTAAAGCTACGCAAGATATTTTTCTAGAACTGAAAGCAAAGGACAACTTCTATCACAAAAATTTACCAAGCAGCAAGCGGCCAAAAAAGCCAAGGGCAAACCACAGCACAAAAACACGATGAAAAAAGTGCCTTACCTTTGTTGTTTCACATCAAAAGAAGTTGTAGTTTTCAGGTGCTTCAGTCATTTTAAAACGCGAACTAAATGATGAGATGAATTGATAAAACAGGAAACACATGGACCTAGCTTCACTTTTGAAGATTTGTCAAAAAGTGCCTCATTTTTGATCATTTCTGTACTCAAATTGCCTTCACAAAGCAGCTATCCCACTTCAATGCTTGCAGGTTTTGATGATTTGAATGCTATATTGCGGAACATTCCCAGCAAAGCAAAGCAAAAACAAAATTATATCCAGAGAGACAAGTTAAAACTACAAATTGCACCTTGCAGCTAATAGGGTGACCATATTTCCATTTGTGAAAACCCGGACACCTTACTGGGGTGGGAGGTGAGGCCTCCATATTGAGCTACAGTCGACCCTCGCTATATCGCGGTTCACTTTTCGCGGTCTCGCTGATTTTTTTTTTAACCCATGGGTGGGTCAGGACTAAACCAGGTCTAAACCAGGACTAATCTTGGACTTAAAAGAGAGAACGCCGAGCAGTTTGTCTGCAAAGCGCGATCAGACAATTGCCGCGTTTATCTCCGTGAGGTGTGGAGCTCTCCATCGGTCCTTTCTCCTGCAGTCACCTCTGGCCCATCCCGACACTGACTCCTGGTTCAGTCCTGATTCACTCCATGGTTCAGTCCTGGTTCAGTCCATGGTTCAGTCCTGGTTCACTCCATGGTTCAGTCCTGGTTCAGTCCATGGTTCAGTCCTGGTTCACTCCATGGTTCAGTCCTGGTTCAGTCCTGGTTCACTCCTGGTTCACTCCATGGTTCAGTCCTGGTTCAGTCCATGGTTCAGTCCATGGTTCAGTCCTGGTTCACTCCATGGTTCAGTCCTGGTTCAGTCCATGGTTCAGTCCTGGTTCACTCCATGGTTCAGTCCTGGTTCAGTCCATGGCGTAGGCAGCGCAAAAGCTTGATATAATCACGGGTTAACGGGCGGGTGTGGTGTTGTACTGCAGGTCTCCAAAAATGGACCCGTGCAGGACTCTGCGCTGTAGGGCTCTATTACGGAATAAATGAATCTTGGGTTCGTTACATAAAGAAGGAGGAAAATAACAAAAGGACGACAGCAGCAATAAGTTTTAAGAAGGATGCAAAAAGGGTTGTAACTGTCCTGTGTGAGAAAAGTGTATAAAGTGTGTGGTGAGGGGTTTTACAGCTTTAAAACAGATATAATCATTGTAAAATATAAAGTTGACTACTTCGTGGATTTCACCTATCGCGGGTTATTTTTAGAATGGAACCCCCGCGATAAACGAGGGACCACTGTACTCTCACTCGCAACCTGTGCACATGGCCTCCCACTTGTCCGGACCGGGATGGAAAACTGAGAATTTCTTGTACAAGTCATTGTTAAATGCGCATTTACGCTTCGGTATGTTGCAGGCTGACTGACTGTTTGTGTTTGCTCGCTCCTTCTGAGTCACAGAGAACTACGAAAGCCGATCAATTTAATGCCCCCAATAAACTGTAATGAAAACCCGGACATTTTCACCACTTAAAAAAAAAAAACGGACGCCCAGAACAAGACGCAAAATACGGACATGTCCGAGGAAAAACTGACATTTGGTCACCTTAGCAGCTAATCCACTTCAATGCTAGCAGCTCTTGTTTTAGCTGGTAACACTTTATAATAACTACACCTTACTTAGCCTTAATAAAGCATGAACAAAGACTTAATAAATAATGAACAAAGATTTAATTAATAATGATTCACGCTTAGTAAATGCTTAATAAAGCATAATTCGTCTTCACTTTAGAAAAGCTCTCAAAAAGACTTAACAGATAACAGCTGCCTGAATTATCATTGCATTGCATTATTAGTAAATCATTCTCTCATAGCTTACTAATGATTAATAAATTCTCAAATGGTTAGTCCATGAGTAATTAAGTAAGAAATAATTATGAGTAACTATTTACAGCACAGGCAAATTAAGTGCAAGTGCTAATTAAGGTAGTAATTAAGTAGTTACTAAGCGTGAATCATTATTAAGTCTTTGTTCATTATTAATGAAGCCTTTGTTCATGCTTTATTAAGGCTAAATAAGGTGTAGTTATTATAAAGTGTTACCTTTTAGCCTTATTTAAACTGCATCACTTCTCAGCAGGAGTCATTGCGCCCTCTGCTGTTCAGTTTTCGCTTTTCTCTCTGTTTAGTTCTAATATAACGGTCTGATTGCAGAGTTATCGGAGCCATGAGTAACTACGAGGAGTTCAGTAAGGCCTTCAGCTGTCCGCAGTCCTCCGTGATGAACCGGGGGGCGCAGTCCTGTCGTGTGTGGTGACCCCTGACCCCCGACCTCTCACCTCAGCTGCAGCGGCCGCAGTTTGATGTTTACAGAAGACGGAGCCCCACTGTCCCTTCAGAACATTCAGATCCGAACGCACAAACTTGGAAACTTCTTGGAAAGAGGAGACGAAAGGACTAGAGACATATTCTGTTATTTTGTTTACTGTAAAGCAACACATGAATTTTTATGAGTTTTTATAATTTATGTTTTAAAAGAATATTGTAAAGATATAGTACTATAAATTATACATGTTTACATGATTTTAAGTTTATATAATATGCAAAAACAGCTCTATGCAACATGATAAAAACTGTATATTGTCCCATAACTTTGTATTACATGCTATGCTTTTTGTGACATAAATTACTTTTACATATACTGTGGGTTTACCATTTTGGAGTATAACTTGAATTAAAGGTCCACAAATTGAAATACTCAGCCTAAATATGCAGGATTTGTGAGTTAAACATGTATGAATGAAACAAAACACAACTCCAGGTCTGTTTTTGGTGAGGAAACATAAAACACACAATATCATAATATGGGCCCTTTAATTTACACATTTTTGCTTATTTTTAATTCTTATGATTATTTTGTGACTGAAAAATTATTGATTATCCAAATACACAAAAAGTTTCTATATAAAATTCCTAGATGTGTAGTGACATTATACTTTGATATACTCCCTTATTGTAAGCGGTAATGTCCATATTGAATGTTCATATTGCTGTCCATCCTAAAAATAACTAAATTAAACCTATACATTACATTTCTTTTCATTTGTTCATTTTATACCAGTGAAATCATTTTAATTCACCTCTGACTGCTTGTGTTCCTTTTGGCTTTCTATTATTCACCTTGAGTCGCCTCTGCTGAAAAACCAACTCTAATCACACTCTGAGAGAACGGACTGTCCCACTTCTCTTCAGTCTCTTGATTTCTGGAGAGATACAAATAAATAAACTCAGCGGGACTGAGATGGGAACAGCACATACCGTAGTAAGTCTGATCCGATTTCTGACCCCAGACAGAAAGTTGTATTGCTTTACCGGAAATATCCCACTGTATGGCTTTAAATACATCCATCTGGAAACAGCATAAAGTCACTAGACGTTAGGCATAGGTAAGAATCTTGAAGAAGTAGATGGAGTTAGAGAGATTTTGAGCAATACCAACACCTATAATAATTAACCTATAATAAACCTGTAATTGATTAAAAGCAAAATAGATGTTTCAATAATGCCACACTGTGAAACATTCCAGATGGAGCAATAACATCCCCATGGAGACAAGCAGGTGGAAGTAAAGTTGCATCTTTAAGCTTATTCAGACTGTACTATAGCACCATCTTGTGTTCATTGCTGTACACTGTCCCACATTTTCCAATTGTTTGAGTGAATGTTTTAGTTGCATTGGACAAGGCAGTCGGGATGGGAGATATGAATTTATGTTTTTAATGCAGGGTATCCCCAGGTTTGACTGCTCCAAATTTAAGACTTTTTAAAGGCCTTTTTAAGACCACTTAAATGAAAATTAAGACCAACATCACACCCATTATGCGGGTGAAAAACTCCAGAGCCAATACTAATAACGACCAAACAACTACGGTAGTATATCTAGAATCCAACAGCCACTGTGGATTAAACCTGCACTTCCCCATGATCCATCCCAAGTCTTCCTCCACTCTGATTGTTTACTCATTGCCACCGGCGCCAAACCAAAGTATTGTTTGTGTATACTCCAAATTAGACATTCATTCATGTGATTTCATGTTGTTATTGTTTTTCCTTCCTCCATTTAACGTTGCTCTGCAGCCCGGTTGAGTATACAGAAAAATAGGCTAATGAAATTTAAGACATCTGTGAAAAAAATAAGACTTGGACAACATAATTTAAGAATTTTTAAGGCTTAATTTAGGAACATGAAATTTAAGACCTATTTAAGACTTTTAAGACCCCGCAGCTACCCTGTAATATATATATTTTTTGGAGACGATATCCACTATTTGATTAAGAACATTGGAGAAGGATATCTTGCCACTATGGACATAGAATCATTATACACTAATATTGATCATAAAGATGGACTAATGGCACTGGAACACTACCTAAAAAAGAGGACTTCAGAGACAATGCCCCCTGCTGGATTTATATTAAAGCTAACAGAATGGACACTGAAAAATAACATCTTTCTGTTTCAGCAGCAACTATATAAACAACAAAAAGGCACAGCAATGGGAGCATGCTTTGCACCCAATTATGCAAATCTGTACTTGAGCTTTTGGGAAGAAAACTATGTATTCTCCAATCTGAACAATCTTCGAGACAAAATATTGTGGTGGGGACGTTACATTGATGATGTTATACTATTGTGGTCTGGGTCGGAACAAGAATTGTTACAGTTTCATTCTTACTTGAACAATACAAATGTCAATATTAAACTCAGCCTAGACTACTCCTTATCAGAAATACATTTCTTAGATTTAAATATTTATAAGGACCTTGATGGGGATTTACATAGCACAATTTTCAGAAAACTAACTGATCGAAATACAATTTTAAAAGCAGACAGCTTTCACCCCCCATGGTTGCTTCAGAATATCCCTTATGGTCAGTTTCAAAGACTACGGCGGATTTGTGATACTGAGTCTAACTTTGAAAAAAATGCTCAAGATATGAGCTGTAGATTCAAAAACAGAGGCTACACAGACAGTACTTTGTCTTTAGCCTACAATCGAGCCAAAAGTCTTAATAGAGAAGAACTATTGACTCAGAAACCAAAGAAAAATGTGAGTACTAATCAAGTGTATTTTGTAACTGAATATGGCACTGAAGCAAACCGAATCAAACAAATAATCAAACAGAACTGGAGTATATTAAGAAGCGACAGCACCCTAAGAGACGCTCTCCCAGAGACCCCCACCATCACCTTTAGAAAAGCCCCTACGCTCAGTGATAGACTAGTGAACAGTTATCTCCCTCCTTTGAAACAAAAGACATGGTTGGACACTAAGGCTGGTTGCTACAGATGTGGTAACTGCACCTTTTGTGAACATGTACAACAGACGAACTTATTCATGGACATTAACTCAGGTCAAAGTTTTTATATTAGAACATTAATTAATTGTAACACTACCTATGTAGTATACAGACTTGAATGCCCATGTGGTCGTTTTTACGTAGGCCGAACAAAACGCAAATTGAAAAACAGACTGGCTGAACATAAACAGGCTACAAGGACATATAACCCCCTGTATCCTATGGCTGTGCATTACAAAGAAGCCAACCATGGCAGCTGTAAAAGCCTAAAAGTCTGTGCAATTGAACATATTAAAGAAACAATAAGAGGAGGAGATAGACTGAAAAAACTATTACAGAGAGAAACCTACTGGATCTACACTCTCAAGGCCACACAGTTTCCAGGACTCAATGGAGAGTTAGATTTCTCCCCCTTCCTTTAAACTACAAGCTTTAAATGTGTAATCGATCCTTGTTCTATATCCCTGTCATCTTGAAATTATTTAAGACTAGCCCTTAACTATATTATACAAACTATAGCTGAAGCACTTTTGAGTTATTGCACTCTATATATATCCTTACACTATGTATCTTTTTATACTATTTTCATATAATGTATCTATCTATGTATTGGTTGCTGGGATTTGCACCATTTATGTCTTGTATTATTGTATTTGAATTTGTTTAGCCTATAATTAAGGTTTGTTAATCCTACATGTCCCATCATGCATCTAGGGGACTGTGGGCCAGCCCACTGTGAACATGTGACCTACACCTATTACTTTAAATCTGCACTGTGATAACCATCTCGAGTTTGCCCTGATGAAGGCCGAAGGGCCGAAACGCGTTGGCGTATTTTAACTTTATCTGCCATGTGGTATTAAAGGCTTTTAATTATTTTGTACTTTTTGAGTGCCTCAGTTTTTTTCCCAAAAATATATATATATTTCACACATGTTTTACCAACAGGAACAATGGCAAAGGCCTTACAAATCACAATCAACGTCTGAATAAAGTCAGAATGAATTTTCTGTCAAACGTTTTACATATAAAGAGAGCAAATCTGCTGCTTACCTCCCTCTGCTCTCCTCAGAGCAAAGGGGAACCGCGCGTCTCCACGGAAAGTAGTGGCACCGCCAAAATAAAAGCATCTGGTATAACCAGCCAAAATAAACTTAAACACAACCTTATAAGGAAATAAAACTGGATTTTGGTGAAATTCAAAAAATAAAAACAAGAGTACATTTTACCTTGGTTACACACGCAAATAATGAAGCGCTGTTGGCCTATCCGGTTTTTATTGGCATTGCCAGATACATGCGAGAACGGCCACATTAACTAATAATAATATTAACCACCAACCCGCGCTCGAGCGCACCCAATTCCCAAAACCCAAACACAAATCCCAAACCACAGTGCAACAAAACAATAAAGAGCAGTTCATCCAAGTCCACCACCTTAACCGTAATTGTCCTGAGCAAACTTTAGTTGTCTCCAAAAGTTCCCAAAGTTTTTCCCCCCTCTGCGCGGCAGCGTGACGTGAGTCTGTAGAGTTTGCGGTTTTACTCACGCCACCAGCGCTCCGGTTTTGACTCACAGTCCAGCAGCCCCCGTGGCTGAGTAAGATCCAGCACAAATGAAAAACGCAATAATCCCCAAAATGCAGCGATGTATTAAAATATTGTGAGCTCCACGGCCCTGACAGCTCCTGGCATGCGTCCCAGCGGGCGTGGAACGTCACACCCTCTGCGCGTGTCCGTGCGCGCGTCTCCCTCCCTTTAAATCCCCGTGCGTCCGAAGAGGGCGCAACCAACAATCTGATATGAATCTGAAATAATAATGCCACATACATGTAAAGGTCCGTACTCAATAGATACTATTAACAAATAAGCATTTGACCCCAGCTGAGAGAACAGAGATAGGTGACAGATAAAATGTATGTTTTTGTTGTAATATAGGAGGTTAATTGGCGTAGTCACCGATAGAAAATATTACAATAAAGATTATTCATGGGAAAATCCATCTCTTGCTCCTGTTCTGGGTGTTCTAGGTTCAAGAATGTGAAAATATACTGTAAACGTAACCATGGTAACCACGGTAACCACGTTAACCAAAAGACCCTTCCATAACCTTAAAGCGCTTTGAATCAAAGACAGTGTCTTTAAGTTTTAAGATAAAAACTTGTGAGGGTAACCAGAAATGTTATATCTGTCAATGTTTGTCAACGTTTATCTGTCAAAGATCAGATATATTACAATACGTAAAGATGAGCCATTCAAGTAGATACACACGAACATCCTCCAGTCCGGTTCCCCAGCGTGATATAAACCTGGTCGAACGTCTCCGGCTGAGACAACAACCTGATCACGTCAATGCAGAATCTGTGGGGTTCAGTAGGCCAAAATTACCAACCACCTACGAAGTGTTAAATTTTAAGCCAAAAACATTGGCCAGTACCATAAAAGCCAAACGGGTGCTGCATAAGTTTATGACCGACTGCAAAGACGACAATGACAATGATGATAAGAGTTCATACGCTATGACACCGCTAGATTGTGCAGTTCAACCCAAGACGACGCCTGAGTTGATAGCTGCCATTCTAGACAGGTATAGTACGTGTCAGTTTGTGCTTGCAGACCGTAAATCATTAACTACAGAAAAGGAAAATCACATCATATTAAGATCACGTGCTGACACAAAAAAAGCGGTCTGTAAAATCGAGGCAATTTACAAAGAGTTGGATAAACCAACGAAGGCCTTACAGATTGAACTCTTTTACGAGGTGTGCAATGCCATAAGGAACTTTTTCCTCTATAGAATGGCCAAACAGGGAATGCTTGCCCTGTTGACCAAGCAGAAGCTTCTGTCCATGAAGTATTCTGTAGATGTTTTGGCTTCATTGCTGGTGGAGCTGGAGTGTTTACTGGAAGATAGACTAGTGCCACTTGTCAACGACTGCTTCAGTGAACGCCTCACATCACAGTCCAATCAGACCGTGTTTAAAGTTGACTACTTTATAAATGGTCTTGCTAACATGAAAGAGCTCCAGTGGGAGAACAACAGAGAAATAGTTCAGCAAATAAAAGAGGAGGTCTTGGAGGTTTTAGTTCCGATGGATGATTGGCTGCAAGAGGAAGCACAAAAACAGTACAGAGGGGATATCTGCCTTGCTTATAGAGAGATCTACCAGCTGATGTCTGTAAATGGACATGTGGCCAAGGGAATAAACCCTTCAGTATTAGTTGTTTTAAAGCAGCAGCTTTCAGCCCCTGTCTCAAGAAAACTGCCTGTTTCTAGGCCTAAGACTGCGCCCCCACCTTGTGAAGTAAAGACACTAGCGAACATTCATAGGCCAACCACAGCAGCCTCTGTTTCTGAGAGAAAGACACCAGCCCATGACTCAAGGAGGCCTTGTGTTTCTGTGGAGAAGACCAATCCCCTACATTGGACAGTACAGACATCAAAACAGGTTTATGACACCCTTTTTCAAAAGCCCCCTGTTAGTCCACAAGCCCCTGTTTCAAATAAGCATCCTGTTTCTATAGAGAAGGCCACACCCCCACATTGTGAAGTAGAGACACCAGTAGAGGTTCATAGGCCAGCCACACCAGCCTCAGTTTTTACTACAAACACACCAGTGCCCCCTGTCTCAAGGAGGCGCTGTGTTTTTATGGAGAGGTCTGGCTCCCCAGATCGTGAAGTCAAGACACCTGTAGAGGTTCATAGGCCAGCCACACCAGCCTCAGTTTTTACTACAAACACACCAGTGCCCCCTGTCTCAAGGAGGCGCTGTGTTTTTATGGAGAGGTCTGGCTCCCCAGATCGTGAAGTCAAGACACCTGTAGAGGTTCATAGGCCAGCCACACCAGCCTCAGTTTTTACTACAAACACACCAGTGCCCCCTGTCTCAAGGAGGCGCTGTGTTTCTATGGAGAGGTCTGGCTCCCCAGATCGTGAAGTCAAGACACCTGTAGAGGTTCTTAGGCCAACCAAACCAGCCTTGGTTTCTAATACGAAGACACGAGCGCCCCGTGTCTCAAGGAGGCTCCACGTTTCTATGGAGAAGTCCAGTCCTCCAGTTTGTGAAGTAGAGACACCTGTAGAGGTTCTTAGGCCAACCAAACTAGCTCGGGGTCCTCAAACAGACACACCAGCGCCTCCTGCCCCAGATTGTACAGATAATACGCTGACCACATCAGCACTGGATTCTAAGAAGATACCTACCCCTTTCTCAGTCCAGTTTGGCAAAGTGGTGATCAATAAGATACCATCCCTCTCTAATGACGATGATGAAGCGAGTGAAGAGAGGGATGATGAAGAAAGACAGGAATACCAATGGAACCGAGAGCTCTTCACGATAATGGCATCCACTATAATAGAGAAGGTGGAGAAATATAACAAGAAGTGTCAGAAGTACGATCTGGATAAGAAGTACTTCAAAACCCAGACTAAGTCCTTAGCAGCAGACCTGGCTGCTGAACTCAGCGGATGGCCCATTGCTGTGGTACCATCTAGTGCCAACGCTCTTAAAGTAGCCAGTGATGTGATGAAGGAACTGAAGAAGAAGTACTCAAAGAAACAGATCTGTACTTATTTTGTAGAAGGTGATTTCACGCCGATTCTCGTGCAGGCGGCTAAACAGCGTCTGGTCTCTGGTACGGGCATGATGCATAAGACTTACGAATGGGAGAGAGAGGACTTCTTAAACTTGACCACCTGGCTGATCACCGAGCTGTGTAAAGAGGAGCTGGTTCATAACCCAAGCATCTCCTACCAGTTAGCTGAGCAGTTAATGGAGGAGGTCAAAGATTGGCCCATTTTTATGAAGCCAAGCATGAAGTATAAGAAAAAAGTTGGTCCGGTCTGTGATCAAGAAGATCACAAAATATTATTCAATAAGTGTATTCATCCTTTGCCTTCAGGATGGACCAATGGACCGGAATATCTTGGATAAGCTAAAGAAAAAGCTGTGCACACCTCAAACAGGGGTCAGGCCTTTTTTCAAAGCTGTAGTCAAAAAGATGAGGTCTTAAAACACTGTACAGCCCAACAGAGACAGAGTGAAACATTGATGAGCACTTTTAATGCTTTTTAATGCATGTATATTATTTATTATGATTTTAATGTATTTCTTATTCTGTAAAGCACTTTGAATTACTTTGTGTACGAATTGTGCTATACAAATAAACTTGCCTTGCCTTGCCTTGCCTATATTTACCAAAAGATTGCATAATTTGTATGTGGTTGGTAAATCAGTATTGCATTGGAAGGTCTTTGAATTGTTGCATCCAATGTGGCTGAGCAGACCACCATTGTACAATAGTACAGTAACTTACTATCACCAGGTATAGAGTGAATGAATAATATATGCTGAATGTAATGATCTGTGAAGTACGGAGCCCGCCCGATGACATCCCGATCACGTACGCGAAAAAAGATATTAAATCGTGGCCTCAAAATACTATTTCGTTCCCACAATATATAATTCGTTCCCACACTTTAGATATATCGTTCGCACGTTTTGATTAAATCGTTCCCACGAATTAAGAAAATGCCGCCAATTAAACAAACAGGGCGTGGTGTTCGGTTGATTTGGAAAGTCCTTCTTGCATGGCTAGCTGGACCTCGGACTTCAGCAGACACAAATAAAGGTAAGATATATCATTATTTATATGTTCCCCCCCCCCCCCCCCCCATTTTTGACAACGTATATTGTTCCCTACTCAAATATATGCTTATGTAAATGTAGGCTTATATAAAATCCAGGATCGTGTATTAGCGTGGCATAGTGTGCATGCTATAGCTAAATAAAAAAAACAAAACAAAATGCTAGCTTAAATACTAGTGAGCTAATGCTGCTTGCTTATAGTGGAAATGTTATGGAGTAAAGTGACAGTAAAATTGTCCTAATTGTTTACCGTGTGTTCATGTAGCAATAGATGCTCAACTGCTGCTTTTTTGAGGGAGCGTAACACAGAGGAGGGAGTCATCCAGACACTGAAGGATGAAAATGTAAGTTTCTCTGTTTTTCCACCTCAGAACATTGATCTCGTAACATCTATAGCCTACAATACAAGTGCCAAACACACATCCATATAGAATGTAAGATACCGATTTGGATGAAATGCAAATAGACCTGTATAGACCCAGTGTTAGCCCCAATTTTGTCTTAGCGTTAGCCATCTATCACCACAAAGTATGAAATACCAGGACTGTTTTGAAGACTTACAACCACTCAACTACACGTGAGTAACACCAGAGCCTGATAGAAATCACTGCCACATGTAGAAGAATTGTTTTTGCATTGTTCATTGACGTAGCGATTAGCATCGAAATGAAGTTATATGCTAACGACCACGTAATAAACATTTCGTAAATCTAACGCTATGCTGGACAATAATACGCTAAAAAATAAAGAGGGCCACAACAGTTTGACAAGAAACCCCTCGATTTATTTCATCCAGAGCCAATACAGTGTGTAACTCATGCGAAATGGAAACATGTGAAATGGAAGCGTCTCTCGCTAACTTTTAACATCACTTAGGCTAATGTTTACCTTTATCAAACGCCTCAACAGCTAAGGACTAAACCAGAACTGAACTAGACTAAAACAGGACTAAACCAGGACCCCGTCCCCTCTCTCTCCACAAAGATTAGTCCTGGACTTGAAAGAAAGAAGGCGAGAGAGAGAGCGCGAGCGAACGAGCGAGAGAGAGAAAGAGGACACCAAATCCGCGGAGCGCGTTCCGGTGACGGCAGCGGGGCGCGGAGCTCTGAGCCGGTCCACCCACCGCCACCGCGGGCACAACTCCGGTCGTTCAGACACTCGGTCCTGGTTCAGTTCTGGTTTAGTCCTCAGCTGTTGAGGCGTTTGATAAAGGTAAAAATTAGCCTAAGTGACGTTAAGTTAGCAAGAAACGCTTCCAACAGTCAAATGTTTCGCGTGCCACCTGCTGCCACCTGCTGGTCAAGAACGTGTCTGTATTTGTGGATCTGTTAGGAGTTTGAGCGTCTCAAAATGATGTCATACCGGGAATCGATGGATTCATGGAACTGGTGATCCACAAATGCGAATCACATTTTACAAACAGAATTTTCAGTTTTATAAATGAAATTATTTTTTGCAAATGAAAAAATATATATTTACAAATGCCCATCTATTTGTAAATAGCAAAATACAAGTTACAAATATTAAATTGGCATTTGTGGATATCAAAACACATGTACAAACCAATGACTATTTGTAGATCACCATCTGTGCATTTGTGAATATTAATGAGACAAAAGTAACCCTATAAAAAGTAAGCCCATAAAAGCAACCCCATAGTTAATACTTTGAACCACCTGCACTTGAAATTACATATGCAATATAAACTGGAATTATACATTAATATTATACACAATAGTAATACAATAATATAAACAATAAAGGTCATTGTGCCATTACCAACACCTACTGGATTAATTTTGTATTAATTATATTTGGTATTTTAATTATAAGAATAATTAAAAGTGAATTAGTGCCACACATAAATGAACCAAAATACAGTCAGAACATTACCAAATAAAAATTTATTGTGGGGTGTCTTTTTATAGCAAATATGTCCAGGGTGCCACAAATGTGAAGCCTTGGTGTGTTCATTTGTATGCTTGATTATATGATTTAATACATTCTCTTTATTCTTTTTTTCAGATTGACGAAACTGTCATTCCATTAATGACTGACCATGACCTGGCAAAGTACATCCCAAAAGTTGCTGACAGAATGAATATCCATCGTCACTTTTCTGCAGAAAATAAGCAGCACACTTAAGTAGCATCTTCAAGAAAAGAAACCATACATTCAAGTCTTTGTCAAAAACTCATCTCAAAATGATGCGGGACCCTCGGACCCTCTTCTTCCTTCTCCTCCTCCTCCTCCTCTTCGTCCGCACATGAAACAAAAAGAAAGTGGACAAAGTGGGTGATGGGTGGGTGACTTATTACAGTTAAGTTTATGTTCATAGCTGTTTTTCTAGCTTTTCCTAACAGTTTTCCTATTTGTTTGTAAAATCCCTAATCCATAGCAAAGGATTCAATTTGTCAACTAGACAAAAGTTTTTTTTTGATTGAAAATGTTCAAACTGAAACTACTCTGAAATGCACACACCTACTTGTTTACAGTTTCTATTTGTTAGCTTTGTCTACTGTACTGCACTTACTAACAAAAACTGTAAACAAGTAGGTGTGTTACTTTCAAAGTAGTTTCTGTGTAGTTATCGCCTCCCTTCAGGCAAATATAAGGCAATATCCACCAGCATCTGACCAGAACTAAGAAGCAGCTTGAATAAGCTGCAAAACGTTTTCACTCAAAAAAGCTTTAGTCTGTTTGACAAATTGAATTTGTCCTTTGCCAGTTTTTCTATTTATTCTAAACGGTGGATGTTTGACTATCTAGAAAACTATTTTGAAAAGTGTTTCAAAACAAACCTTACTATAACTAATAGCATAAAACTGAGAACCATTGTCAACTATACAGTATACAAGTTCAATTAAAATATGAAAATGTCGCTGTTTCACCCATTGACTTTTTTCTACATGGTATTGCTTTCATCACACAGTCAGATCACTCCAAAAGCAGTTGACTTGTCTTGAAATTGCAAAATAATTGATATCTTAAGGAGGCATGTAACAGGACACTACTATCTGGAATACACTTTATTACGTTAACATGTTTTAGTACATTGTTCTATATTATGAGGTGTACCAACAGTCGATGTATATTTTAGCAAGAATCAAGATCTTGTTAAGTGAGAGATCTGGGCAACGTGATGGTGCATACAATATCTTTCTGTAGCCCTATTACTCCTATTTCTTCAGTCACACTGTTACAAACAAGTTCTGGCCTCTGTCTTCACGTGTGTTACACATTGTATCATGGTAATAGCATAACCATGTATAAAGGTATTCATTAAATATATACTCAGGACAATAAATGTAAAAGTTTTATCAGGTCCTGACACAAAGTACCAGAGTTATTCCAGGAGTGAGGTGCTTGATGCTGAGGACACGGTCTACTTAAATGTGTCAATAAGCACTAGTCTTTAAAGTTCACTGTATGCAGGATTTATGTGGCTCTGGATGAAATAAATCGAGGGGTTTCTTGTCAAACTGTTGTGGCCCTCTTTATTTTTTGGCGTATTATTGTCCAGCATAGCGTTAGATTTACGAAATGTTTATTACGTGGTCGTTAACATATAACTTCTTTTCGATGCTAATCGCTACGTCAATAAACAATGCAAAAACAATTCTACATGTGGCAGTGATTTCTATCAGGCTCTGGTGTTACTCACGTGTAGTTGAGTGGTTGTAAGTCTTCAAAACAGTCCTGGTATTTCATAGTTTGTGGTGATAGATGGCTAACGCTAAGACGAAATTGGGGCTAACACTGGGTCTATACAGGTCTATTCGCATTTCATCCAAATCGGTATCTTACATTCTATATGGATGTGTGTTTGGCACTTGTATTGTAGGCTATAGATGTTACGAGATCAATGTTCTGAGGTGGAAAAAACAGAGAAACTTACATTTTCATCCTTCAGTGTCTGGATGACTCCCTCCTCTGTGTTACGCTCCCTCAAAAAAGCAGCAGTTGAGCATCTATTGCTACATGAACACACGGTAAACAATTAGGACAATTTTACTGTCACTTTACTCCATAACATTTCAACTATAAGCAAGCAGCATTAGCTCACTAGTATTTAAGCTAGCATTTTGTTTTGTTTTCTTATTTAGCTATAGCATGCACACTATGCCACGCTACTACACGATCCTGGATTTTATATAAGCCTACATTTACATAAGCATACATTTGAGTAGGGAGCAATATACGTTGTCAAAAATGGGGGGGGGGGGGGGAGAGACATATAAATAATGATATATATCTTACCTTTATTTGTGTCTGCTGAAGTCCGAGGTCCAGCTAGCCATGCAAGAAGAACTTGCCAAATCAACCGAAACACCACGCCCTGTTTGTTTAATTGGCGGCATTTTCTTAATTCGTGGGAACGATTTAATCAAAACGTGCAAACGATATATCTAAAACGTGCGCGAACGATTTAGCTAAAGTGTGGGAACGATATATCTAAAACGTGCGAGGGATATATCTAAAACGTGCGAACGATTTAGCTAAAGTGTGGGAACGAATTATATATTGTTTGAACGAAATAGTAATTTGAGGCGACGATTTAATATCTTTTTTCGCGTACGTCATCGGGCGGGCTCCGTAGTGAAGCGTCTTTGTGACAGAAATGTCTGTGAAAAGCGCTATAAATGGGGACTTACTTACTTACTTACTTCAGAAAAGAAATGACAATAAATTAACTTAGAACAAAACACATGTGTGAACTTTGTATGTAAATTTCTTGTTTATCTTATTTAGAGTTTGTTTTTTTTTTTTATGTGGATTTTTTATTTTGCTTTGCTATTTGGGATTATTGGAACCTAAAAGAAAGTCACCTTTGAGTAACGGAAAGAAAAACTTTATTTTCACCTTAAACACAGCAGTTTTGTTTTTTGTTTTTCCTGACTGATTTTGCATGTATTAATAACATTAGAGCATTCTGCAATCATTGCCATCAAATCTCTATCTATATACTGTTCAAAATAATCCAGTGGGGTCCCTTCATGTCTGTCTAGATCAGTTTCGTTCCAATGCTGATACTGTGCAATGTTTGGGGTCAATGGAGTTGCCTTCCAGCAAATTCCACGTCCTGCACAACCAGATTTAGGATAAAAAAAAATTAATTAATTAATTTATGTATTTATAAAAATAGTTATTGTGTAAATAATATTAAATAAAATAAATTATAATACATAAATAAAATAATACTAAAAAACAAAAATAATCACAATTACTTTGTTTGGACACTCCCTTTTTCTTGGTTTGGCTTGGTCCTGGTGTTGGCTCATCCAAATCATCTTCTGAGCTATCAGTGTCAATCTTTTGAGTTTGACAGCGACATTTGGGAGTGCGGGATGAACCTGTAGCTGTCTCTGCCTCTGTTTCTGTCTCTGACCATGAACTTGTCAACAGGTGTTGTTAATTAGCATTTGCTGCCAATCCTTCATGTAGCCCTGAGGCCCTAACTACATAAAATCAACAAATATATACTCGGTCTTGGCTAACCATTATCTGCAACACAGAAACGTTTAGGTCTGCTGTGAGTGGACCCCAATCCTGAGTGGGCTCAGGATTGGGGTCCTCCTACTTTGCTCCTGTGATGGTGTTTGATAATTTTCATCCATGATAGGATCATCATTGTCAGACAAGTCCAAATCCGAGTTGTCTCCATCAAATAACCCAAGTAGCTCCAGTGCTCTTTGCACAGAAAAAACGCTCTAGAAATAAAAACATGACCAAATGAAATGTTATTTATGTATGTAGTTATGGTACAATGTACAGTGTTTTAACTACGTCAGAGTTAGCTGTAAGTTAGTAAGTAAGTGAACTAACATTTTTACTACCATATTAGATTTTTACTAACATTTTCAAGCCAACTAATCTATGTATGTATGCATGTAGTGACTTGATTGTTATTTCTTTCATTGGGACAATGTACAGATTTTTTAGCTGCAAGAGAGATAGCTTTTTCTTCTTCTGTACATATGTGAATGCGTATTTAGCATTTTCGTGTTTTCAAGCAGCATCAGTCCGTAAGTACACATATGTTACATCATGTTACTTCACAAGTTGTTATTGTTACAATGTTTTTTGTTTTGTTTTTTTCAAATTTGCATGTCATGACAGATGTACAACACTTTCATAAATATCTAAATCAGAATAAGCCATAAAATATGACAGTAATTCTTACCCTATCAATGTTTGTGTATAGAGCTGCCACTTGAATCTTCCCATGTGCTTGCCACCATATTAAATTTTGCCAACAGTATGTTAGGCTCTTCTGACACCACTGGATGGTGATGGAGTCACTGCCCACACATGTCTATAATACCCCCAATTCAGCACTGAACATGATTGTGGACATAAGAGTTAAAAAGTGCTGTCCACATATGTGACCAGTAAGCCCTAGGAGGTTAAGACAGAAACTGGTCCACCAAAACACCAAAACACCAAGCCTCAAACAAAGCAATGTGGTCTACTCCATTCAGTGTAGTGGAGATTGCAGTGAACGTTACACTGGTGAAACAAAACACCCACTTTGCAAAAGGATGTGTCAACACAGACAAGAGAGAGCAGCAGCGGACCTCAGTCTGATGTACATCTCCACCTAAGAGCACAGGTCACTCTTTTGAGGATAATGAGGTACAGATCTTAGCCAGAGAAAAGAATCAGTTTGAGAGGAGAGTTAAAGAGGCTATTTTGTTAAGAAATAGAATCCTTCCTTGAACAGAAAGGGAGGACTAAACCTAAACCAAACCTAAATCAAAACAAACAAACCAAGAAAACAAAAGAGATAGTCACATCAGACCCAGAGGAGGAAAAGCACCCATTATGGCCCTGAATGATTATGCCAATATGACCCCACACTCAGTGCAGGTCAATAGGCCTAGCTAACTAACAGAAAACTGTAAACAAGTATGAGTGTTAGTTTCAGAGTAGTTTTCAGTGTAGTTAGCTCCTCCTTTCAGGCAGATATAAGGAAGTATCCATCAGCTTTTTGACCAGAACTGAAGAAGCAGCTTGGAGGAGCTGCGAAATGTATTCAACCCAAATAAACTTTTGTCCAGTTGACCAATTGAATTTCTCCTTCTGCCATGGATTCTAAATGGACGACTGAGGGATTTTACACTCAAATAAACGTGTTTTAGTGTTCAAAAATGCCTTGCAGAACACACAGACTGTGTGAGCGCCAGGGTCATGTCTCCAGATCTTACAAGTAAATTGGCTTGTAAATGGTCACATTTTTCTATAGCACTTTTCCACCTTCAAGGCACTCAATGCGCTTTACAACAAGGAACCACTCACCCATTCATACACCAGTACACTGTGGGCAAGGTGGGTTAAGTGTCTTGCCCAAGGCAGCATTCATCTGTGGGAGCTAGAATCACACCAGCCAACCTGTGGGTCAGTGGATCTGACCACTCAACCTGTGATGTTTATGTACAGAGCTGGATTTGAACCGCCAACCTTCAGATCAGTGGGCGAATGCTCTACCAATTGAGCTACTGCCGCCTCTGTCTGTCACTTGCTTGTCTTCAAGGAGATAGATAAGTTGAATGTCGTAGTAGTGTGACCAGATGTCCCTATTTACCCAGGACAGTCCCAGTTTTTGAGCCCAGTGTTCCTTACAGATTTATCCAAAACCATTGATTTGTTCTAGTTTTATATACAAGAAATGTCCCAGATGTCCCTATTTTTGACCAATTTGATCCCTGCTAACAGTAAGAGAGAGGTGTACAATGATATTTTTTTAGATAAAATACAGAATACAGACTGTATTGACTTGCATGAAAATCTGGTCATCCTATGCTATAGCCTACTGAAAAAATCATTCCAGGCAAAGTAATAACATCGCCCCATAGACATACTAAAATTACATAATGAATCTTCAACCAAGTAAATATTTGAGCACAGATGTCATTAAACAAACTCCAAGAAACTTTGTGCTAATTCTAAAAGCTACGCAAGATATTTTTCTAGAACTGAAAGCAAAGGACAACTTCTATATCACAAAAATTTACCAAGCAGCAAGCGGCCAAAAAAGCCAAGGGCAAACCACAGCACAAAAAACACGATGAAAAAAGTGCCTTACCTTTGTTGTTTCACATCAAAAGAAGTTGTAGTTTTCAGGTGCTTCAGTCATTTTAAAACGCGAACTAAATGATGAGATGAATTGATAAAACAGGAAACACATGGACCTAGCTTCACTTTTGAAGATTTGTCAAAAAGTGCCTCATTTTTGATCATTTCTGTACTCAAATTGCCTTCACAAAGCAGCTATCCCACTTCAATGCTTGCAGGTTTTTGATGATTTGAATGCTATATTGCGGAACATTCCCAGCAAAGCAAAGCAAAAACAAAATTATATCCAGGAGAGACAAGTTAAAACTACAAATTGCACCTTGCAGCTAATAGGGTGACCATATTTCCATTTGTGAAAACCCGGACACCTTACTGGGGTGGGAGGTGAGGCTCCATATTGAGCTTA